CTACCCCCACGCCTTTGCCAACGTCAGTTGAATGAAGAATACATGATAACAACGAGCCTTGTAGACAAAATCTGATAACACGTTCGCTTTCGTGTAATAGAAACTCTTTTGCATCGAAAATCGAACTACACATTCTATACAAAATACCTTTCGTCCAAATAACCAAAACTCCCCATTCCTCTCGCAACTAGCCAAACGAGGACTTAAGAAAATGTGCGCGGATAATATAATTGAATTTAACAATACTGCTTTTCACGTTATGAAGGCACAATGTGTCTTATGGAGAATATGCGTGTTGTTGCCAACACGACCCAATCGCTTGTTCGAGAATTGTTCAAGAATCATCAAAATACGGCTACCTTCATTGCCTACTCTACTAATTAGGCCATGCTATCTTTCTTAATATACGCATCTACTGAAAAAAATTATTCGCACACATTATTATTATTATTATTATTATTATTATTATTATTATTATTATTATTATTATTATTTTAATCGTTATTATCGCCAAAATTACTCGTCCCGTATTTTTGAATGCAGACCTCGGTTTAAACTCGTAATATGTAAAAAATCTTGATTTAGTGACCCTAGGAGAATTTCCATGCTTATTTCCTACATTAAATTGTTCGGCTCACTTTGTTGCTCCATGAATAAGATACATAAGGGAATATTCTCATCTCTTTAACAATGACATTATTTTATCGTATAACCAGATTTACTATCCTTGTTGAGGTTTACAAAACCAAGAACATTATTGTAGTTAAATTGGTGCTTTGGTCTCTACAATCGAGTTCTCCTTATCTCTCCGCCTCTGATTCACGCTTCAAACTTTGTCCAGGCAGAACAACCCTAAGATTACTTTATACGACACAGATCCTTCAAAATTGAGGCTGTAATACTTGAGTTATCGTTTTCAATTTTAAAGGCAGATGAATGACCACTTTGAAGGAACTAAATAGTTTGGAACAAGACTTCTTCGAATTTTTTCATTTCTTCTAAATTTGGCGCTCTGAGCGAGTTCACAAATAAATCTGGACCCGAAATCTCTTGAAAGAATATTCAATTCTCGTAAGAGCAACAGTTTAATTGCAATTCCATGAAAACTTGCTTTCACAAGAAAGTATCTGCAACATGCGCCGGCGGAGGCAGCGATGGTGGTCCTGGTGATCTTAGTGGTGGTGATGGTATTGACGGTGACGGTAATAATGGTGATGGAGGTGACGGGGGTGGCGACGGTGAAAATGGAGATATCGTAATGGTAAGGATGGAGGTGGTAGTGGGTGTGGTGGTGGGGTGATAGTGGAGGTGGCGAGAGTGGTGGTGGTGCTGGTGACGGTGTTAAAGGTGTGGGGACGGTGAAGGTAGTGATATAGTGGGTGTGGTGATGTTATTTATGATGGTGGTGGTGGTAATGTTGGTGGTGATGATGATGGTTGTGGTGGTGGTAGTGGTGATGGTGGTAGTGGTGTGATCGTAGTGAGTTGGTGATGGTCAGTAGTGGTGATGGTCGTGGTAGCCGGTGTGTGGTAGCCGGTGATGCGTGGTAGCGCGTGGATTGGTGTAGCGGTGATGGTGGTAGCGGTTGATGTGGTAGCCCCGTGATGGTGGTACCCGGTGATGGTAAGCCCCCCGTGATCGGTGGTAGCCGTGATGGGTGTACCCCCGGTGATGGTTGTAGTCGGTGATTTGATTTTTGATGTGTCGGTAAATGAGTGGATGCTGGTGCTGAAGATGGTGGTGGTTGTGATTGATGAAGGATGGTGGTGTTGGATGAAATGTCGTGATGCGTGTTGTTGATGTTGGTCGGTGGTGCATGATGTCGGTGATGATGGTTAGTGATGGTTGGCGGGGGATGGTTGATGGGTTGGTGATGAATGGTCGTGGGTGATGGTATGGCTGGAGCAGTCGTGCGAGGGGAAACAGCGGCGATTGGGCGGGGGGGGGACGCGCGGCGCGGGTCGCTCGCTCGCACTCAGCCGCCCGTTGCGCGCGCGTTCTCGGCGGGCAGCGTACGCGGGCGGCGGGCGTGCAGCGCACGCACGAGCGTTTTGAGCGCGGGCCGCTCGCGCGACCCGCGTGGCAGCGCACCGGCGCAAGCGGAGCTCCTCGGCCATCGTCGGAAGCACAGCGATTGCTGCACAGCAGGGCACACAGCGCTCGAAGCAGCCGGCAGCGCGACGCGGCGCGGCGCGGCCGTGGCGCGGCGCTTGCAAATCCCCCGAGGGGCTCCGCGGGCACGCGCACCCGCGTTCGGGGGCTCTTGGAGGAGAAGCTTTGGCTCGGGGGGGGTTGACTAAGGGTTGAGATGATACCCGGCACCCGCCGCCGTGCTGTGGGTTACTCAGAGCGCTCGCCACACTTCAGGGGGGAAGCTCTAGGGCGTCTAAGGTGGTAGGGTTCCTAATTTTATTGTTGGATTTTCTAATTGTTATGCATTTGTTGGTACAATGTTTTGCAAAAAATCCATCGAATGCGGATTTGAAAATCCCTCCAATGTAATCTTCCTGAGCTAGGTACCTGATCAGGATTTACGTTTTGTGCCTCGGGACAACGGCGGAAGGTCTAATTTTGGGCTGAGGGAAGGGGGGGCTAAGGTGGCCTTGAGTTGTACCTGACACTTCACCCGGCGTGCTACTGCTAGTAGTATACTCTGGGTCACACATATCAGAGAAGGAGTGATGATCTTTGGAGCAAGGATTGGGGTATCTAAGGCAGTTGAGTTTGTTTCTCCGGCATTCCGCCTCTAGCTGCCTACAGGTTCTTCGTGGTGCACGTACACATAAGTGGGGTGGGCCTATGGGAAAAAGTCTAGGGCTCTGTGCGCCCTAAAGTGGTTGGGTTGATTCCCGACGCCCCGACATTGCGCTCACCGTACATTACTTCTGGGCGGCACGCACATTCAGAGGAGTGGAAGCTCTAAGGATCTTTCCTGGTGCGACATCCTCTGAGGTTCGCCGCTTGTTATTGGGGCGCGATGAACCCTCAGAGAGGGGAATGTCACTGGGGAAAGACTGAGGGTTTTCGAGTGGGCTTCGGGGGTTGAGTTCTCGGACGCCCCTTGTGAGCTGCAGCCAGGGAGCGCGCTTCTCTTTGGGGAGCTGTGACCAAGCTGTGACTAGGAGGAGTGAGTTTTGCGAGACAGAGCTTATTGGCAACATCTATCTAAGGCCAGGGTCTATCAACATAAAACCTCGCCGTTTGCCTTAACAATCCAACAATATTATACCTGACTTCAATTGCAGGTCATAAAACCTCTCATCTGCAAACTGGCGAATTTTTGCAATTGATAACAAGAAAAATGTTTAATAGTGTATTGTTGTTGGTTCTAATTTTATGCATTTGTTGATACAATGTTTTGCAAAAAATCGACAGAAGAGGACTCGTAAACCCTTCACAGTAATCTTCCTATAGCGAATTGTCTCTGATCCAAGATATACCATTTGTGCTCGGATGGCTTTCTAATTAGTTCAATAGATAATTGGCAAGTGCCAATTATTCCATTTTGAACAATGTGAGTCGATGAATGAGGTGAAATCGATGTCGGAGTTTCTTCCTTTAAATGCAAAAACTTAATTGCCATTTTGTGTAAATATAATTAATTGTTTTTTTGAAGACTTTTCAGGCGTTAAAGATAACAAAAAATAACAAAGCAAATATTCATTCTTTTGGACACTTAACGGCTTCATTCTGGACTGCGTGTTTTATAATTAAAAATAGTTTTCATACCTTACAAAGGTAAATGTTAAGGAACCCCATTGATTTTAAGTTCAAGATGTTAATTGAATAAGTCTCTGGAAAATGACGTAAATTCTAGATATTCAATTTTTTCGTTTCTCGACCTGCAAACAAGTCAAGAAGAAAGTTCACTCGTCCAACTCAAACACATCAAGCTGTTGAAATAGTTTTTGATAGTCGACCGCAATAGTTGCTGACATTCTCAAGATGAATTAAGATTAATAAGTGCATCTAGTTCTACAGAAAGTCACCATGTATTATTCACTGAGATCCAAGTGCTAAACCAATTTAAAATTATTGTTAATTTGTAAAAAGATTTCGGTCTAAAAAAGAGGAAACAATTGCACTTTTTCAGTTTTTTTGCGTGTTTTGATTTCACACTACTCACTCGGCCTCCATCATTTGGTCCAAAAGAAAAAAAAAAAAAAAAAAAAAAAAAAAAAAAAAAAAAAAACCTTTTGAAAAAAATTTTTTCTTCCCTTTCTCTTT